TATACGAAATCAAATTCATGCATTATTACGAATACTAGCGCTTAGCAAACACTTGATAAGAGATCTCTCAAGTCAACTTGAGGGTCAAATAGCGATTGAGCGACTAGTGTGTCTTCTTCTTCGATCTCTTTCCGTGTTTTCCCTCTTTCTCATGTCTGTTTTCGTCCTTCTTTTCCTTTTCCTCCTCGTCATGATGCTGCTCATGATGATGATGATGATGACCGTTTAGCCAACGCGGCATTATCAGTCGCAATGGCATTTCGAACTCATTGGGAACCTAGAATTTTATGTTTCATACAGTAAATGCTACCGAATGTCCTAACCTTTCCCATACTTCCAGCTTCGAAGAACCACCCAAGCGGGAACCACAGCCGTATTCGATCGTCAGTCGCTGTCAGATTGGCATGATTGTAGGCATAAGCGTGGTAATAAAGAAACATGCGAGACGAGATGTAGAAAGCTTAAACGAAAGTTTAGACGAGGAGTTAGTTGGTCGCAGCAAAGTCTACTTACCGCAGATGTACGCACCATTCTCGATAAACTCGCCCACACGCCAAATGACAATAAGGACGAGTTTTCTAGAAATGGCGCGCTTCACTGCAGTGAACATATCCCCCCGACACTCAACACCAGCCTGTCATTACAAGCCAGGGGCTTTCAATCTAAGAGTGCCATCAGCGCGGCTGGGTCCTCGCAAGCCGTCTCGCTTGAACTACTCGTCGCGTTCGCGAACGTGTCTTGGAGCATCTTTCCAAGCTCTTCAACCATAGATACCCAATATGGTATTTTCCAAGCTCCAACCATGGGAAATTACCGTATCCGCTGAGGGCGATAGCGGTGACGGACCCAAGCGCAGCTCGCGAAGATCCGAGCCGCGCCGACCGTGACACTCAGATTGAATACCCTTGTTGTGAAAATTGTAACTAATGCTAGCAAAAATACTTGACTATATACTTTTCCGCTTCCTATTACATATGGCTCAGTGATGTGTGCCAGAGAACTTCAGTTGCATCCCTTCACAATATTTCAAACCGCGAAATGGCTATGATCAATAATATTTCCGCTAATTTACTGAAAACTCACCTATAAAAACATCAATTGAATAATGTTCATGTCCCGCAAGTATGAAGAAGACTCCAAAGAGATTCAACACCCAGGTCGTAGTGTGGAGAAAAGTCCACGATGGAGGGGTATCTGAATTTTATGCATTAAACTTGTGAATAACTGATTTCTTCCAAAATAAGACGTTCTACTGGGACTTACACTCCGTGATCAAGTGGTTTAGCAGCGTAATCGCAGTAGTGTGACCGCTGAACATGTAATCACCACAAGTTCTCACACCCTGTAAAAAGAAAAATCGCGCCAAATCATATATGAAGAATACAAATTTGGGACAGATGCACGTAACCTGTATCGAAAGTCCCAGATGAGACCAAATATGAAACGCTTGGATCAGTTTGTCAACAAGGCTCCCGTAACTCTTGAAAGAAACTCTTCAAAGAATATAATAAAGTGAAATATATATGTTAATTATTGAATATTTGTCTAGATACAGGAGAAGCCACACTGTTCCGATTCAAAGCGTAGGAAGACTTTCAAAACACAATTATCTGAGACTATTTCGCACTATGACCAGTATATGGTGATGACAGTGAAGAAAATGATAGAAATAAGGTGAGAAACGTTTCCTCTACGCACAAGCCTCATTTCTGCCCACGCTCTACTGTTCCGTGCTTACCTCTACATAGGCTACAAGAACAACACTTGGTTGCAATAAGTGAAAGAATGATGATGTACAGAAAAGAAACTAAAAGTTGAGAACAGCTGCTTACTTTTGCCTGACATTCCAGATGTACCCCAGGTACCGACAAAGATGTGATCATCATAGTGACGCATCTGAGAAGAAACACGGTGCCCACCAACGAGAACATTCGACGCATGATGATTACCCTAAAGAACAGTTGCAGAAGAGCCATGGAAAGTCCCACAATCTCTATCTCATAATAGTAATTCGGCTTCAGCTTATTCGCAATCATTTCATCAGCAAAATGCAAAAACTACGTATCGCCGGAGCAGTTGAGCCTTGAAATACTTGAAGCTTACCTATGTTTGTGGAAAGTGACTATGGTGAACCATATAACACTGAGAGCTACGCCAATCATTTCGCACATTTCGAATGCCCACGGAATCAGTGGCAAATTATCCAGTACGATGTCGGGAAGTGGCGGATATGTTTTCATATCTGCAAGAAGTAAGCATAATTTCTTGTCTCCTCACAAAATATAGCCCAGCCATTTCATATGATCATATGTGTTATTGCGCACAATGTTCGTCTTTGCCGTTCTCGTCTTAGATTCAAGAGCAAACAACCCTCCACTCGAGTGTTTTGATGCTACTTTGTATTTTTCTTCGATTTTTTTAGGAACGACTTCTATTCAAAATGATATAAGTAGTAACAATGGGTCAGTCTCCGGTTTTTGAGACCAGAAATCCTGGATGGGGGACGGCTAGTGCAACTGTGCCATATGTTCACGGATTGACTAAACTGTGTATACTTACCTGGAACGCGATCATGGACCAAGACCATCACGAATGCTGTTATAAGCAGCGAAGTCAAACAGTAAAGAAAGGCAATGAGCAACTT